CAAATCGATGCGAAGACAAAAGATGGTCTCAGTAAGTTGTGATTGACACGTTTCTAAAGAAGATGTGACATGTTTTCTCGTTCTTAGCACCACTTCACTGTGCGGCGCGATCAGGTCATGATCAAGTAGTTGATTTATTACTTGAAAGTGGTGCTCCATTCGGGGCAAAAACAAAAAATGGTCTCTCGGCGTTACACATGGGTAAGTCCTTTTTCTAATGAATTGATTATAATAAAATCACTGCCATCGCTGTTCTAGCCGCTCAAGGTGATCACGTCGACGCCGCACGTATCTTACTGTATTATAAATCTACTTTAGTAGATGACGTTAGCTCGGTTCGTTTCTTACGCTTTCATCAATTTTCATTATCATTTCTCTTTTTTCTTTCTATTTCAAAGGATTATCTTTCTGCGTTACATGTAGCATCTCATTGTGGAAATTATAATGTCGCTAAACTTTTATGTGAACGTCGTGCTGACGTCAATGCCAAAGCATTAAATGGTTTCTCATGTTTACATATAGCATGCAAGAAAAATCGCTTAAAACTGGTTGAGCTATTGATTTCTAACGATGCAGATATCGAAGGCAAGACAGAATCAGGTTTAACGAGTTTACACGTCGCTGCATTTGTCGGTAGCCATGATATCGTGGTATATCTCTTACAACACGAAGCGAATATCGACGCGGTTACCATTCGTGGAGAGACACCGCTACATTTAGCAACGCGAAATAACCAAGTCGATATTGTTCAAACCTTACTTCGATTTGGCGCAACCGTTGATGCAAAAGCAAAAGAAGCACAAACATGTTTGCATTTGGCTACGCGATTAGGAAATATCGAAATAGTCAGCTTATTATTGCGAGCAAACGCGTTCGTTGATAATGAAACAAAAGATGGCTATTCAAGTTTACACATTGCGGCGAAAGAAGGTCATGAAGAGATAGCTAGTTTACTGATCGATCACGGAGCGAATCTCAATCTATTCACCAAAGTACGTGTGATCAACGGTCTTTTTTTGAACTTCATGGAAAATTTTGTTTTGTTCATCTAGAGAAATTTCTCTGCTCTACATATTTGCAGCAAATATGGAAATATCAAAGTTGCTAATCTTCTTTTACAGAAAGGAGCAACACCCGATATTCAAGGCAAAGTAAGTTCTCATTTGACCAATCTAGATCAACTTCACTTCGCTCTCCTTCACCTTCTCTAGAATGATTTAACTCCATTACACTGTGCTGTTCATTATAATCACAGCAGTGTTGCACTCCTTCTCTTACAACATGGCGCAAGTCCGCATGTAACAGCACGGAACGGTTATACGCCGTTACACATTGCTGCAAAGAAAAATGCATTGGACATCGCTGAAATGCTATTAGAATATAATGCAAATACAAATGCGCAATCATCAGGTGGCTTTACACCTTTGCATTTAAGTTGCCAAGATGGCCATTCAGATATGACTTATCTTCTTTTGGCTAATCATGCTGATCCGAATATTGCATCTAAATGTCATCTAACACCATTACATCTATGCGCACAAGAAGATCGCGTGAAATGTGCCGAAGCATTAGTTAATAAACAAGCCAATATCGATGCCCAAACACTTGTAAGTAAACAATCGACAACGTTGCCTGCTTATCACAGATAGATATCAGCATAGTATGAGTTTGATTAATGATGAAAAACATATCATCATCGAGGAGAATGTCAAATGATTATTTTGATATTGGAAAAACAAAGAGCTTGATTGTTTTAGAGTGGTTATACGAGTTTACATGTCGCCTGTCACTTTGGTCAGATCAATATGGTTCGATATTTGCTTCAACTGGGCGCCAATGTTAACATTGAAACCAACGTATGAATGAAAGCGTGTAATTTAATTGAAAAATAATATTTTCATATATTTACTTTTAAGCTTATGTTTACACCACTTCACTCCGCTGCCCAACAAGGTCATGTTATGATTGTTAAATTATTACTCGAACATGGCGCATCACCAAACAAAACCAACAAAGTAACTTCATCAAACAACTCATTTGTTTTTCTGTTCGACTTAATGATCTATTTATTTGCTAGCATGGCATGACTGCTCTGTCTATAGCACAGCGTCTCGGCTATATTTCTGTAGTCGAAGAACTTAAAGTCGTGACTGAAACAACAATTGCTAGCAAACACGAATTAATTACTGAAGAACGTTATAAGGTAAACAGTCTTTGCAGAATGTATATCAAGAGTCTTATGGATCTTTGGTCTCTATCTAGATTCAAGCACCAGAAGTTTCACACGAAGAACATCCATTAACCGATTCGGAAGATGAAACAGGTAAATCTTTTTCTTGACTTAACGATAACAGATAAAGAACGTACCAAAGTGCTGTCAGCTGAAATTCTACCGACTGACATAATCTATCCGGAGATCGAATATCATCAGTTGGGAACAGTAATTGACAATTTGAATTTACCTGAACAGAAAAAGAAAGGTAGTCGGATGATGCCTTGCACATATGTATATATATTTTTTTCTTGCTTGTTATGGAAAGATCATCAGAATGTTTCTTACCCTTTTGAGTTACACGCGCGCATGATTAATGTCAATATCGAAGCATATGGAGTTGTTTAGACATCGAGACATATCAAACGGTTATTTATTGCTATTTAGATATGCTTGGTGATGCTAGCTCGAACGTTCATATGCAATATTTGCGTGAAGGTGTTTTAATGACTGAAGCAGAAGAGAACAAACTTAATCAAACATCGTTTAACAAAGTAAATAGAAATCATGGCGATGTTTTTATACATATCGTTTGGTTCTCTTCATTTTTCGTCCATTTTCTTTTAGGAAGAACCTGAATACCCGATGTTGGCTGGTAAAGATCATTGGACAGAAAGTCGAGACAATTTACATGATCATCAAACACCGGCATTAGCGCCGCAAAACTTAGTCGCTGATAATGAGGTTATCACCAAACCACGTCATGGAGGGTGAGTAATGATTGCAAGAAGGAAAACAAACGAATGTACAGGAGTGAAGTTGCATTTCTTGATTCGCATACGTGAATGTGTTTGCAGTGAATCTGACTGGTTTTTTTGTACGTATCTTTCTAGGGAACGTTTTCAGTGCCGATCGTAAGTGTTTTTGCACGATTTCTTCCTATTGCTCGACTAATCCTCTTAGATTCATTAATTTTTTTCTAATGATGATCTTCGGTGTCGATTTGTATTTACTTTTATGTGTATACGTAGATTTTTGGTAAGCTTTTTGGTCGATGCTCGCGGTGGTGCAATGCGCGGCTGTCGCCATTCGGGAGTTCGCGTTATTATTCCGGCAAAACGTGCTAGTATGCCAACCCGGATCACATGTCGATTTGTTAAACGAGAAAAATTAACGGTGCCTCCACCAATTAACGAAGGCGAAGCTTTGGCAGCACGTGTTTTGGAAGTTGGACCTGTTGGCTGCAAATTTCTCGGGTAATAAAGATAATTAATGTGTTTGCCGTAAATAATGGTTTGAATTGTAGACCCGTCATTCTCGAAATACCGCACTTTGCTTCGTTACGAAATTATGAACGTGAAATCGTTGTTCTACGAAGTGATAATGGCGAAAAATGGACCGAACATACCGGTCCAATTACAGATGAAGCTGTCCGCGAAGTCTTTGGCGATACTGTTGATTCCGAAGGTGAGATATCTTGTTCTGTTGATAGTCCCTATCTATATCGATGTATATCTATTGTTTAGATTTACAAAATGCTGATGAACTTCATTCGCGACGAATCACTCGAATTATAACCAATGACTTTCCACGATTCTTTGCATTGATTACACGCATGCGGCAAGAAGCGCAATTTATTGATGAACAAGGAGGTTTGCTAACATCAACAATAATTCCGACGGTTCAAGCGCATATACCTGAAAAAGCTTTACAAAAACGTATCCGAGTCTCGCTTCATGTTTTACCAATATCGGCTCAATTAGTCCAACGTTCATATGGCTCACGTATCCACGTGAGTCCCGTTGTTACTGTTGAACCGCGCCGTCGTAAATTTCATAAACCAATTACAATTACAATACCATTACCGAACAAAACACCTTCGTCAAGAAAACATTCACATCCACATCAGCATGGAAATGCTTATACAAGTGATTCTCAAACACTTCGACTATTATGTAGCATCACGGGCGGTACACATGCAGCTCAGTTTGATGACATCACAGGACATACACCATTGACATTCTCAAACGATTGTGCAACATTTACGACGACTGTCTCAGCTAGGTAAAAAAATTTGAATTTTCACTCGAGTTTTCCTTCTCTCTACATCATCTTGTCATTTCATAGATTTTGGCTGGTCGACGCTCAAGGTGTTTCTGATGTTCTTAAATTAGCACATGAAATCTATCGTGAAGCAACATCAGTTCCATACATGTCTCGTTTCATTGTCTTCGCTAAACGACACGATCCGAACGAAGCACTCGTTCGCATCTTTTGCATTACTGACGATAAAGAAAATAAAACTCTCGAAATGCAAGAACATTTCACTGAAATAGCCAAATCAAAAGAAGTTGAAGTGGTCAATGGCAATTCAATTTATATCGACTTACAATCGACGAATTTACAAACAATTATCAAAACAAATGAACAATTAACATTAGTTTTTCGTGCATTTAAAGAGAATCGTTTACCATGTGTTGTTCGTTTACGTGATCAAGAACAAGAACCATCGGGTCGATTAATTTTCTCGAAAGATAATGGTAAATTAACATCCATTCAACGAACAACATCAATTACAATGACCAATGGACAAGCGTCGGCGTTGTCGTCCACAACAGTCATTGATCCTCAAACATTACAAACAATTTGTAATTTGAATATTCTTATTCCTGCGTATGATAAGGTAAATCTCACCGAATTCGAATATTAGTCATAACTTTGTTTCTTTGTTTCAGGATTTGCTCGAAGTAAATATCTGAGAAATTCATTTATTTCGATTTTTTTTACATTATTCAATTTAGAATGAAGAACGTCTTCGGGCATTACATTCGGTTGAACACGATCGTAATTCAGAAAGTATGACGATTGCAGATCAACAGATCGATTTAACATGAATGGATGTTTTTCTTTGTGTATATAGGCTGGAAATCGGATGATATGTATCGAAAAGGAGAAATCCGTTTGACTGATATTGCTCGACTCCTCGGTAGTGATTGGCCAGCGCTCGCTGCTGAACTTGAATTGAGTGAAGATGAAGTCACGAAAATCATGGACGAATTTGGAGAAAATGCTTCTTTACACATGTTACGCTATTGGCTCAAATCACGAGGAACGGACGCTACTGGTAAGAAAATGATCCTTGTAATAGAACACATAACCAATGATACATATATGTATGTGTGTGTGAGTCCAGTGTTACAATAATGATACCTGCAGTGAGAACTAGCGAGTCATCAGGGTTAGATTTTTGTACATGCATTTCGGAGAAAATAATGTTTAGTTTTCCAAATGGGTTGCTTTGAGTTGAGATAGACCATCTGTTGAGTCTATTTATAAACAAATTTCTTGTCACAATTGACAATAAACATATGTACTGTTTTTTTTTTCTGTATAGGAAATTGCCTTCAACAAGCATTACGTAAAATTGGAAAAGAAAATATTGTTCATAATTGTGTATTTAATATCGAATGGGTCACCGATGCTGCTGAAAAGGAACTGGCCAAATCACGTCTTCATAGTCGCGGTGGCAGTGTAGATGGCATTGCAGCAGGTGGACGTCGAGTAAGTCAAAGAGGGAGAGAGAACTTTCGTGTTCTAATCTGCTTCATTCGTGTCATTGTTCTTTAGTTGGACGAAGGTTTCGAAAGTGATGATGAGTACGAACGTCGTCGACATGGTAAATCCAGTAAGTAAACTCACCTTTTCCTCTCGGATAGTTTTATTTGTCACGAATTCAACTATAAAAGATTTAATTATCGATGATTCAAACCGAATTTCGGCAATGACAACAATTATAAAAACTATCACATTTGAAGAAACAGCAGAAGATGATCTAGGAGGAAAGAAGGCAAACAGTGAAACAGTAACGCCACAATTTAAACAATTAGAACCTTTGAAAATGGTTAAACGCGACCTATCCAAAGACTTCATCCCCTCGTCATCTTCTGCATCAAGTGTTGATACAATTGTGACCGTCTCCATGAGAAAAAGTCTAGGTTCATAAGTGTTCAGTGTTGAAAAACTAGTCAATGTTATTTTTGTTGCTGTTGTTTTTGTTGCTTGTGTGTCTATGTGTTGTGTTTGTTGAAGGTGAACGTGATGGTCCGTTACATTTTGTTGATTCGAGTAAAGCAACAACACCAGCATCTCGTTATGGAGGATATTTTTCTGTTTATCATCCACCGAATTACTCAGGTTCAATAACACCACTTAGTTGTCATTCACATCAATTTGAAATTATGCATTTGGAAACGTTGAAAGACAAACTAAATAGATTATCACGTGATAAAGGTTCTTTCGTGTTTTACTTTTCGAGATTTGCCTTGATTTGCTTGACATTTGAGCATGAATGACTTGTTGTGCTATGTCTGATGTCTGAATTCGTTCGCGCTATCGATCGAGATCCATTTAAACTGATCTTCTCTTTCTTTGTTTAGCTGATCTCGATGATCCTTATCATGCATCATCGAAACAACAAACTAATGCAGATCTGGCTGAAGGACGTACAACACCAACAGCTAATTTGGGTATGTTATCGATTTAGTTTATTTTTAGTTCCTGCTTTCAGATAATTATGGTGAAAGCTTTCCGTGATATTACAAGTAGAAATTAGGTTTCTCCTTTTTCTCTCTTGCCTAACAAAGGTCGTAAGAGGCAATTTCGTACTTGACATAATGATTGACATTGTGCTGAAGAGAAAAAAAAAGCGGAAACGGTCGGCAATAGTAATTAGGATTTGAGTAGAATGTTAAAACTCTGCTTTTATTATCAATGAATGTATACGACCGTTAAATTAGAACATAAGACAACACCGCCAAAACGCTTTTTTTGTATTCATAATGAGTCTCTTCGAACGTGCATGAGCGGCACTAGGGTATATTTAGGTCTTTGTAGTCATATAATATTTCATGTTACTCCCTAATGAATGAATGAAGGCTAGAAAAGAAAGCAGTTCTCTCTCTGCTCATAGCTGGAACTGTGATGCAAATGATTAAAAAAATTAGAAACTTAAGATTGCCGAAGAAGATATTGAATAGACTTCATCATTGTTTCTAGTCAGTAAAATGAAGAAAATAACAGCGTGTTTGTCTTTTCTGGAAAAGGATGTCTGCTGATAAATAAAAAAGTTAAGTCACGTATCTCATTTCTGTAAATAGAATAATTATATTTATATAGATGTAAATTCTCCTTTCTTTCTCTTCTCTTCTTTTCCTTTCTTTTCTTTATCTGATAATCGAACTAAATATGTTTACCATTCATCTACAAGGTGAATCAGAATGTGTGTCATTGTTATTCTAAGTTATACTCATAAAAGAAAATCATTGCACTATTTATTTCTCATTCTCGTGTCAATATACTCTCTCGTCAAGTCAAGAGACGAAGACGAAGAAGAAGAAAGAGATGATCTGTTTTTTCTCGCTAAGATATTACTGATATATACATAAGCAAAAGCTTGATATGAAGGCACATCTGGTAGCAAAAAAGCCAAGATTTGTATGCCTCGACTAACCATTCGATATAATTAAGCATTGGAATACTAATCGATTAGACATGCCATTACTCTGTTTGAATAGAAATCGAACCCTATGCTGCGGGTTATTCAAAAGAAAACGTCGGACTATTAGTAAAAAGCTCTCCTGACATCCAAATGACGCTGATGTTTTCATTTAGAATTTCAATCAAAAAAATCTTCAAAAAAATTTGGTGATTTCGGAATTGTGAACATTGTTCAAGAAGCAACACCGATCTTACCGGATAATCAACCTGCAATCTCATCGGTTCAATCAGATACACTCACTGACCAATCAAAAACAACAACTCAACAATTAGCTGAGCAAACATCTCAAGCCTTCGATGATATTCGTAAGTGAAAACCAACCGAATGAGTGCATGAAATATGATATCGTAGATCACTTAGATTAGTAGTTCATATATAAATATATATTATCTCTCATCGTTTTCTTTCCAGCATCTACACGTGTTAATCCAACACCTGTAGGTGAGCGTTTTATAAAGTCGAGGATAATTCCTGATCAAGCACGTGCGATAGCAAACGCATTCAAGCATGCTGTCGTTCGACCGCTGAAAAGGACAATCACGAAAAAGAAATCGGATGATGGTGCACATTCGATTGAACCACCACTGACAAGTTCCCATCAGCCATATGTTCATTCGCTTTCTGCCAGTGATCATTTTGATCAGCAAGGCAATGAACTATCCATTGGTTCATGTGAATCTATCAGTCAAACAACATTCACACCACCGCCAGCTAAACCACCGCGTCAAAATGACGAATCCGACTCGCTATCGTCGGTGGATATCACGCCTATTCCACCGGCGAAACCGCCGCGACATTTCTCTCTCTATAGTAATAAAAGTTTGATGCAACAAACAGATACTGCTGTAAAAAAGGTTCTGAATCTTGCTGATGCATTTGGCATTGTTTCCAATGACGATACTGATATAAGCATTTTACGTACAACACCGCCGGACATGAGCCAATCAGGAAATTTACACGTTTCCGATAGCTTACAAACTCTTCAATCGTTCATAGTCGATGCAAGTCGACTGGTTACAAACACAGATACGCCAGTGATGACAAAATCATTTGAATTCGAATCCGAACAGCCAAGAAGAGTCAACCTGATCTCATCGTCCGTTGAGAAATCAGCTAAAGAAATCGTTCCAGTGAAGATCATTCATTTCGCCACCGAGTTGGCTGAGACAATCTTGCGAGAAACTCCAGAATGTGTTACGACATCGACTGCATCATTGAAGACATCTAGTAATAATACTTCATCATTTCCTCATTCGATTGTCACAACTCATATTTCACCGACTCCTCCTTCTTTGGCACGTCCATTAATGTTTGTTTCATTTCAAACTCAGCCCAGTGTAACTCCCAAGATTGTTTCGCCACTGCGCGAGATCGTGACTATCAAACCGACGCCAATAGTCACAACATCAGTCACTGTTGTCAGCACACCAACGACACTACTTTCGTCGACAACATCTGTCAACGCCAATGAAGATGAAACAGATCAGCCTGTGACATCCGCTTCTAATAGTAATAGCATTTTTAACCAATTGGAATCTATCGAAAGTACTTCTCGTGAAAGTAATGCGAATTTCGAAGTGAGCATAGCGCGTGATAATACAGTATTTTTTCCAGAAAATGCTGATAATATCACATCAGTTCGTTCATTTTCGGGCAATTATGATAATTCACATGTATCGAACGGAAGTTTACAAGACGATAACAATCATCAACCACAAGATATATCACCATCGACAACGAGATGTTCGACACCATCATCGTCATCGACAGCCACACTCTACGAAAGCTTAGATAACTTTTCGACATCGACCGCAACAAGTCCAACGTACGTTTCAGCGGCTAGTACGTTCAATACCGGTGTTACTTTGACTCCAACGCAACATTTCAATTCTGATACAAGTGATGATGATACGATAGAAAGCCTTTCTCAAGGTAGACAACGATCGTGCATACTACACCAAGCATGGACACGCTCATCTATTCCTAGCATGTCTTTTTACCTTCCTTTTTCCTTTTCCTCTTCCTCTTCAAATGGCATGGCCAAAACCAATTTGCTTGTTAAAAAGAAAATTGAAAAAACGCTGACTTTTTCTTTCATATACGATAGCGTCGACACCCACAGTGGAACTTACGGAAAATAATATCGAATCGCTTGATGAATGTGATATATCATATACAACGAATGTTCTTGCTCAAGACAATCTGCCTAGTCATCATCAAGGTTTGCGTATGCCGTGTGCGCATGTTAGTGATGATTGATTTGAATCTCTACTTTTGTTATTATTATTTTTTCTGTCGATGAATTTCCAATGGAAAATGAAACAAAAGAAGGATTACTTATTTCTTCTTTTTAGATAATCTCGATCCAACAACTCTTCAATCTTCCATTGGACACGAAGGTAAATAAAGTGAAATGTTCATTCTCTTTTCTCGACTTCTACGGAAAAGCAAACAACTCTCATCAATCATTTTTCTAGCTCAAATTGATTCGAGAAATCAATAAATGTAAGCACAGATGAAAGCATGGAGTTATCCGCGAGATTGAGCCTATGAATCGCATGTAGTTAAAAAAATTCACTGAATTTTTCTATGCGCGAATTAGCACATCTGTTGCATCATGTCTGTGTATATATAAATGTTGAAACATATCTACTCTAAGGGAATGTGTGTGTGATACGGTTTATAATCAAATGCTGTTGTGCGTGCGTGTGTGTATTGCATGGTTGTTGTTTTCTCGATGTTGTTGTTATTGTTGTTGTATTTCTTATCCTTCTCTTCGTCGTTTTCTCCTCCTCATTCTCCTTCTTCTTCTTCTTGATCATCATTCACTCCCGGCATTGAGTATGTGTAAACAATAGAAAAAAGAAAATTTCCATAATAATCGATCATCAAAGTAAAGAGAAAAAAATGAATCAAGACAAGAGACACTTTTTTTTCTTCGAATGCTTGTCTTATCGACTAACATCGTTTTTTTATTATTACTGCACCTATTTCCTTCCATTTGCTTACATGTTTGCATGCTCTAACAGATGGTCGTTTACCCTTCTTCTTCATTCCTTCAACAGCGCAAACCGTATCACACACAGAATCCTGCTCGAGAGAAAAAAAAAACTTTCCGTTTTTTTCCGTATATATATGTCTATCCTCTTTTTTCTCGCTCCTAAGAAAAAAAAGGCACTTCTGTGTGTGGATGTTAGATAGAGTCTCGTTCTGTTGTTTTTTTTTCTTTCTCTCATTTCTTTCCAATCTAATCTGTTAAAGAGAATCAGAAAGAATCGAAGACGATGAAGTGACTGCTAAGCTGCTACATCTCGTTTTTTCCTTGTTTTCTATTGTTTACAGCTACTCTTGCCAGCAAAGGAAAAGAAACGTCATCACCACTATTACCACCACCATCATCATCATCATTATCAGAACCATCGTTATTATTAAATTCTTCTTTTCTCTTTTCTTCTACATTTCCTTCTTTTTCCACTCCTTACGCTACTACCATAACATCCGCTAAACTTCCATCAACAATGCCGAGTAAAAATTCCAATGTACCATTTCAACAATTCAATAAAATCTCTTCGACAACTACGAACGTGAATGAAGAACCTCCGATTACTACCGAACAGCAAGACAAATCTAAAGACCTCGATAATGCTTTGCCGTCATCAACATCATCATCATCAAATTCTCGACGCCGGCTACCCTTACCTACGAAATTATCGTTCGAACAGAATATAACTAATATGATTGAAAAAGAATCCCCTCTATTACAGTCAGAATTACTAACTGCCGAACATGAATTATCTGTTCTGCGTTCACGTTTGGCAGTTAATGAAGGTGTAACTGCCATTACTGGCACAATACTTGAATCTCTCAAAGGACAATTTGATGCTCATCATAAAGTCGATAGTACGACATCACCGTTTGATACATCTCGAACAAATCTCCTTCAACAATCGTTGGCTATTCAAACATCTCCGTCGAATGAAAAACTACCAGATTGTTTAGAACTTCACTACGATGCTCAGTCACCTAGAAGTCACTATATCGTTGTTAAAGCAGTGAACTCATTCTGGGTCGCTCAACCCATTCCTGATTCGCAAGTGCAAGAACATTTGCAAAAATTTTCCTCACCTGTTATGAAACGTGCAGCTATCAAACTACCCGATAGTTTCGAATTCGATAGTGACACCGATGCTCTCGACGAAGAAAAACAAGAGCGAAGTCACGGTTCCATTTCCGACGAAGATGAAAGTCTACTGCTGGATCGTTATGAGCAATTATCTGAGATGAAAACCATCCGTTCGTCATCATTACTTCAACATGAAGATCAATTTGAAAAATTCGAAAATAAAATCGAAGAAATCTATTTAATCATTGATCAATTGCGACACAAATCTCTGACGCCAGCAGTTCTAAATACATTACAGAAGAAAGTCAACGATTTGAAATTCATTCTACACACACTTTACTTCAGCAGACAAGATCGACTTCATGTTGACTATCTACTAAGCGAGCTAGAAAGTCAATGCACTCAAAAACATATGCCAAACCAATATGACTTTGTTGATTTATTTGAAAATGACCTCAATAGTTTACAACATATTATCGAACAAGTTAAAACAAATGATACACAATCTCAACGAGATTTAATCAGTGAATTCGAAGATAAATTAGAATTGATACAAACCATCGACGAAGATACCAGTTCCAACGAATACAAAATATCTCCGAAGCCACAACCTAGACGTTTGATTCCAGAAAATCCAGTCATTACAAGTGATGTCTTTTTCGAAGGCGATAAAACACTCAAACCCAAGAAGACACCAGCTACTCCACCGAATCACCGGCGACTAATACCCGAAGATGCTCGAATTAGTGCTTCCAGTTTCTATGAAGGTGATGTCAATCGTTCGTTATACCATCATGTGGACCCGAATAAAGATACCGACCATTCACCGAAGAAGAAGCCTTTAGTTCCCGAAAAACCACTTGTGTCAGGTGAAGTTTTCTATGAAGGTGATTCGCAGCGTTCGTTGTTCGTCAAAAACTCTGCAGAGAATCCACCTGAACCAAATTCACCACCTCTGTCAATTGAAAATCTTCGAGAGATCATGAGTGATCTGATGCTTGCTGCATCTTGGTCAAGGAAACCGTCGAAGATCGAGAAGCAACCAACGCACGACGAAGAAGAAGAGATTCTTGCGGAATCATTCATTACAACCGAACGACGACATTCAAAATCATCGCTCTGTGAAATCATACATGAAATCGAGAAATTGCCCCCATCTACTTTCGTCGAAGATCAATTGAATAAATCACGCCATCCGACAATAATCGAAGAGGATGAAACAGTTGTGGAGAAGGTTCGTGAACCAGTACAGGAAGATTTCTCTACCAGAAAGTCTCCAAATGAAATTGCTTTTATCTTCGTCTCTCCTCCATCTTTGGAACAAGACGATGAAGATAAACGTGAAGATGAAAGTAATGAAGCCAATTCGATGCCAACTGATCCACCCAATGAAAATGAGTCTTATTCATCCGAATATGAAGCACGTCTTCGACAGGCATCAAATGAAATCGTAGGAAGAATCCTGAATGGCGCAATTTCGGAAGCCATTGAATACGAACAAGAACAATTATATTACAAAACAGCTGTTCAACTCGTTCAACATGCTATAGAAAGCGCATTGATTAAATATGATAATGAACTTACTCCAAGTGAATTTTCATCAACGAGCAGTGAGCATAATGATGAAGCAAATTCCGATGGGTATTTATCGTCGGACGACGAGAACGAAGAAAATGAAAAATTAATTCCACAAATATCTGATCAACCTTATCTCTTCGTCACGGATGTTGTCGCATCCAAATCAGCACAAGAACTCGGTGATCTCGTTCAAGAATTACAAACACTTGAACATCAAATTCATCATTTCCGCCCTCGATCGTCGTCATCATCGTCGTCGTCTTCCGGTGTATCAGAAAATAAAACATCTCATATTGGCATTCCGCAAATTATTACAGCAAGATCTGTTACTGAATTAACCAATCTTGTTGTTGAACTGCAAGACATGGAAGAAAAATTAGAGGATCAACTTGATGAGCCACTTGAAAGTATCAAATCGCCTATATCATCAAAATCTTTCAATGAACTCGGTGGATTAATGAACGAGCTACAAACAGTTTCCGAGCAGTTGAACAACCGTATTCACGAAGAGATATTTATTTCGACGAATATCGATTCATTATCAGAAGATATTATCAAGTATCGTCGTGATTCATTAGCCGCATTGCAACAACTCGATGAAAACCGAGCTGTTCAGGATATGGTTGATAATATTATTAAAGAAGCACAGGATATTATGATTAAAGAGGTAAGAAGATTATCGTTTACTCCATTCGTGAATGCTTTTCAATCCCTTGAAGATGATCGTGTCTAAAAAGCGTTTTTGTTATATTTTTAGTCTTATCTTAAATCGATTCCAACGATTATCGTTGATCAACGTCGACTGTCAGGTCAACGATCGTCAGCAACCAGTATCTCGGACGATCTTGGCCTCTCACATGAAGACAATTCCGTCGATCAAACATTTGAACTAGCGGCGCAACTTGATTACCTTCGACGAATGTCACGTTACGATAATCAAACGTACGATCAGCCGTCATTCACCTCATCGACAGCGGATAGCCACGAAGACAATGAGGATTTCAAATCTGCAAGTTATATGACAATGACTAATGACGATAGAACATCTTCTGACGAAGAAAGTCATCGCCCAAGTAGATCTGACCAACAGATCGATGTCAGCCGAGATTCTGTCACACAACCATCGTCCGACTCACTCGATTATCATTCCACCGAAGTCGAAATCAATCAAACTGAAACACCTCGACGAACAACCAGTGAACATAGTCTTCGAAGTACATCATCATCTTTGCAAGCACACGAACAACACTCTCTATCGACCTTGTGTTTAATCGATAAAGATGAACTGGTACTATCCGATAATGATCAAGAGACAGCAAATATTGGTTTTCTTGATCGAATGAAATTGCTTGTCAACAAGCCGGTAGAAATCGTTCAAGAAGCAATGGGAAATCTTGGGAAACAGCGAACGAGCGATTCTACTACTAACGCATCAGATCAACAACGCTTTCAGTCAGCTCATGACTTGCACGACGAAGAGAAGAGCAAGCTTGTTCGCAGTCCTGAACTTTATAACATTGGAAATGTTGGTAAACATGATCAAAGATCATTACTGACAAGTTCACAAATACAGCATCGAACATTATCGGAGTCTGCTCTGACGAGTGATGATTCGAAACGTCATAGTTTAACTACGACAAGTAACGATGCATCTGTCGAATTTTTAACGGCGTTATCAAAAGAGAATTCTATGGAATTTTTACAACAACGTCTTTCCACGCCGTTTGATGATGTACTCGAAAAAGAATCAAGCCCAGAACAGTCCGAATGCCATCCACCTCCAACATCCACGTTTTCCGATG